CTGACAACAGACAGCAGCTCTTAGTTGTCTTTGTGTTGCTCTTTAAAGCCAATACAGAGACACTACAACACTCTTTTATCACCTGTAATGCTCTCCTATCTCCTTCAGCTGCAGGTGTTGCTCTGCTGTGATTTGTTTTTTAAATAAAATGCTCTATTTACCAGATTTGATTTTCTCCTCTAAACCCTCTGGTCATGCGGTTGTGGCCTTTTTAATTCAACCTAAATCATCAGAACAGAAACCCACAGCGCTGCTTCCTTTTTCTTGTTGTTTTCTAGAACAGCTTTTCCTGACAGTGGGGATATTTTTAAAAACAGCAAACTCAGGAAAGCTGTTGTTTTTTTTTAGCCCAGCTCTTAAAATTACAAGCATCTCACCTCACCTGAAATCTCCACTCCTAACTCTGCACTGCATTCCCTGTCACTCTGCTAAACACACCCAGGAGGCTATAAAACCTCACCCCGTCCGCCTGCAGCGCCCTTTCCCCTCCAAACCACTGCACCTAAAACCACCGCGAACAATGAACTTTATTAACCTACTTTTTCTGTTTGAGTTGGTTCATATTTCACAGTGACGAGCGTCTCGTTGTCTTTTTGGAGCCCTGTTATTACAAAACGTTATGGAAATGCAAAGACGGTGCAATGATGTGTTGTTGAAGCAAATTTAAGTACTGTCAGGATATTTTACTTTAATAATAAAGCATTTTTATTCATTTTATCTCTGCATGTTTTGTTCTACTTTGTAAATCCTCCTTCCACCAACAATAATAATAACAATTAGAACAAATACTTTAAGCCCTTTAATTATAATATAATGTTCATGGAGGTGTGGGGTATTGTTTTTCTTAAATATTAAGGTTAAGAACCTACTGTAGAGTTAATTATGGAGATTAACCTGACTAATTAAGAATTAAAGTTTTGACCATTAAAAAAACATGAAAACACAATAAATCCAAGGATGATCCCTTCATGTTTTATACATTTAATTACTTTCTAATATATATGTATTTTTTATTTTGCTTATATATCAGTGAAAATAAACCACATGAGTCCTCCAACAGAGTCATGGATCCTCTATGAACAAACGATGTTTTTAGATTTTTGTGCATCTCATATATTTCTTTTAACTTATTTTACAACATGCTCAATTTGCTTATACACATCTTATGACTTATTATCTACAATCATGACACGTGATAAAGAAAAATCAGGTAACTGTCACATTTAAGGAACTAAAATGTGAGATTAAATGGCTTTTTTTCTTAAAATATGACTGAACATAGTTGAATTAAGTGGCTGCCACTAATTTAAAAAAATCCCAAAAATACCCTGGACCCTCTATGAGTAAGTTTTGCTTTTTTATTTGTGTTTTATGTGTTTTAATAATTCCTGTAAATGCTAATCACAGCACAGTGAATTCGTTGCTATGAGACTGATCTAAAAATCCAACTAGCCACGACTGTCTCCTCCCGCGGTGTCTTGCTAGCTGTTTGCCTACAAAACCGCAGAGAATCAGGTTGTTATTTACCAAAGGAGGACAAATATCTCCTGACAAACTCCCGTTCAAACATAAATCTCTGTCTGATAAACTGTAAACTCCTCACAACAATGTTTCGGCCAGCATTTCTGCTGCTAGCGTCGCTAGCTAGCAACATTAGCTGAAGTGTGGAGAAAATGCTGCCACCCTATTGGTCGGTTGGTGCTCAGGGCGCGCTGTGATTGGCTAAGACGCGGATCCGTCACGACAGAGACCAGCCCCTGGGAGCCAGCTGAGCCTCCTGACAAACACAGGCCGCTGTCCCACTTCTGTCTGACAACCAGCGGCTTCTTCCACACTCTGACCCGCTCACCGGACCGCTGCGAGGCTTACGAACCGCGGAGACCAACCTACCGTGTAGTAGGACAGCAGGCCGGCATTGTAGTCCAGGACGAACCAGCGGTACTGCCAGCCTTTCATGACGTTAGTCCACTTGCTCAGCGGCCCTTCCATGATGGACGCCATCTTTACACCAGGCTCCGGCTGGGGAGGAGTCGGATATGGTGTGGACAGGCGTCACCGGCAGGAGGCTGCTGATCAAGGTGAACAGGAGGCTGCTCACACTCCCCTAGAAGTTTTACAGTTAAAAACATTTAGTCACAAGCAAAACTCCTTTTACCAGAGTAGAAACAGGCAGTAGGAGCAACAGGATGTAAATGAGTACACCCATTATTTTTATTGTTTTGTTGTTTTTAAATCCTTATTTATCATTTTTATTCCTATCATGCTCATTGTGTTAATATTGCATTATTGGTAGTTCTTCATTTTCAATTCAATTTTATCCATATGGTGCCAATTCAGCATCATCTCATAGTACATCACTAGATAAAGACTTTACAGATTCTATTCAGAGGAACTCAACACATCCAAAGTTTCTTTTGGATTCTCTTTGAGCGAGTTCTTGGCAATAGTGGGAAGCAGAAAACCTCCAACAGAGCCAGGCTCAGGGAGGACATCGCACATCTGGATGCTGCAATCTCACCTCATTCTTCTTTGCAAAACTGCTCGAGTGCTGTCAGGGGATCATAAGTGAACAGCGCTTTCCAAGTCCAGCCATGAATTCTCAGTCGGCTTGAGGTCTGGTTTGTCTTTAAACCATTTCTGTGAAACTTTGGCTGTTTGTGTCGGCTTATTGTCTTGCTGGAAAACAAATCTTCTTCTAAGTCACAGCTCTCCTACAGACTGCATCAAGTTGTCCTTCAGCATTTCTCTACACTTTGCTGCATTCATTTTACCCTCTACCTTTACAAGCCTTCCAGGATGCGCTGCCTAGAAACATCCCCACATCATGATGCTGCCACCACCATGCTTCACATCATGATGCTGCCACCACCTTGCTTCACATCATGATGCTGCCACCACCGTGCTTCATCACGATGCTGCCACCACCATGCTTCACATCATGATGCTGCCACCACCGTGCTTCACATCATGATGCTGCCACCACCGTGCTTCACATCATGATGCTGCCACCACCGTGCTTCACATCNGTTTTACAGTTAAAAACATTTTGTCACAAGCAACACTCCTCTTACCAAAGTAAAAACAGACAGTAGGAGCAACAGGATGTAAATGAGTACACCCACTATTTCTATTGTTTTGTTGTTTTTTTTAAGTCCTTATTTATCATTTTTTATTCCTATCATGTTCATTATGTTAATATTGCACCATATTGTTTACGTGCTTATAAAAAGTATCAATCCCCCATTGAAAGTTTTCCCATTTTATGGTCAATTTAAGCCGGCCTTTTTTTTTTAAAACAAGAACATTCATATCAAAGTCTCTTTCATGTCAAAGTGACAACAGATTTTTATGAAATAATGTCAATTAATTAAAAATATCAAATGAAAAAAAGGGCACCTTAGTCGATGCACCTTTGGTTACATTTACAGCACTGACCTTGTGTTGGTAGGTCTTCATTTTCAATTCACTTTTATCCATTTGGTGCCAATTCAGTGTCATCTCATAGTTCATCACAAGATGAAGACTTTACAGATTTTATTCAGAGAAACTCAACACATCCAAAGTTTCTTTTGGATTCTCGCTGAGCGAGTTCTTGGCAATAGTGGGAAGCAGAAAACCTCCAACAGAACCAGGCTCAGGGAGGACATCGCACATCTGGATGCTGCAATCTCACCTTGTTCTTCTTTGCAAAACTGCTCGAGTGCTATCAGGGGATCATGAGTGAACAGCCCTGTTCAAGTCCAGCCATGAATTCTCAGTCAGATTGAGGTCTGGTTTGTCTTTAAACCATTTCTGTGAAGCTTTGGCTGTTTGTGTCGCCTTATTGTCTTGCTGGAAAACAAATCTTCTCCTAAGTCACAGCTCTCCTACAGACTGCATCAAGTTGTCCTTCAGCATTTCTCTACACTTTGCTGCATTCAATTTACCCTCTACCTTTACAAGCCTTCCAGGATGTGCTGCCTAAAAGCATCCCCCCATCATGATGCTGCCACCACCATGCTTCACTTTATAATGCTGCCACCACCATACTTCACATCATGATGCTGCCACCACAATGCTTTATATCATGATGCTACCACCACCGTGCTTCACATCATGATGCTGCCACCACCGTGCTTCATCATGATGCTGCCACCACTGTGCTTCACATCATGATGCTGCCACCACCGTGCTTTATATCATGATGCTGCCACCACCGTGCTTCACATTGGGGTTAAACATACATTCAAGGGTCTCATCAAAAGAAAGACTCTGTATCTCATATGTTGTTTTTTGTGAACGAAATCAATTCTATTTATGCATTTTTGTCTATTTTCTGTTTTTTTTTTATACTTTACTTTTTTATTATTGTGTTATTCTGCTACTCTGGATTTTAAACCAGTGTTTGCTTATTACATGTTTATGAGATTTATTCATGGTTTCCTCAGTCCCCTTTCTAATTAAGTTTTTTATTTGTGACCATCGTTTTGGGTCGACCGAGCACACACTCAATGATTTATTCTATTTGTATGAAAATTGTAAAACAAATAACATCAAAGTGACTTTAACGAGCTTCTAGAGCTCAACAAGCCAATTAATGGAAATGCCAACTAGCAGTAGATTTAGTAAACAACTCTTGGTGTTATTGATTTACAGCAAGATGGCAAAAAATAACATTAGTCATGTTTGATTGCAAAATGTATTTGTTCCTCTAAACTGAATGCCTTTTTGGATTCGATCTGTCAACAAACCAGCTTTCTGATGATTCAACTTGGACTGTTTTCAGACAGTTTGTTGACCAAAGAATCATCTTAATAACTGAGATACTAATCAATGGATTATTTAATAAATATTTGTCTATTTCTGCTTTATTAGTGTGTTAGTTGAACATCACTGAACTATGTGAATCCTCCGGTGTTCAAATGAAGCCACAGTACAGATCTATGTGTGATTTATTAAAACTCAAAAGGATATTTTTGAAATCCCATCAGATGTAGGCAGACGGACGATCGGAAACAAACCAGTATTCATCAATATCTTTATTATTTACAATAGGCTTAACACTGATAAGCAGAACTTCACAGTAATATAACGTGAGCTTTAAATAAAAAAAAACAAAAAAAACAAAAACAAAACACAAAATATATATTTTGTACAATAAAAAAGTTAATGTTAACATCTGCCATTTGTTTTTCATCCCTGTTTAGATTCACATATTCCGTCACGGCGTGTCTGTATGCGTGTGTCGATATTACATTGCACTCATACAGCTGAAGAAGTGGCCTTTGGTTTAATGATACTCTCCAGAGCTGTTCTCCAAAACAGGGAGACGCCAGAACATAGAACATAGATAACACAAATAAAAGACAATGTGAAACACCGACGATGAGAATGAGCAGAAACTTGTGTTCAAATGTTAAACCACATCGGTCTAGAAATCAGACTCATTGGGGGCATAATGGGGATATGTTGCTGATTGAATTGAAAAAGAAAAAATAAAGTTCAGGCTTGAAAAGTGTTGGATTCTGGAAGGCTGCGTGTTTTTTCTTGCACTGTTCCGATAAGGCTTTTATAGGAAGTTTGCTCCACAGAGATGTGATAAAACTCAACAGAAACTAAACCAGGTGAAGGCCGGACCGGTGCTACTCAGTTATAAAGACATGTTTGTGGACTAAACTTGTGATGGGATCAGATTTTGAGTTTAGTGCAGCAGGCGTGTGCACGGTTTAGGAACGCACGATGACGTCTGCATGCAAAAGGCTTGAACGTGTCGGTCTGAAAGTATGAAAATGTTGCATTAAATTCTTCTTATCTACTGGGAAAGTAGTGTATTTTACGTCTGATAATATGTTAATTCCACTTCAGGAGAGGCTTTAGTTTAAATTACATTAAGTGGAAAACAATGTGTGCATATATTGGTATCGACATCCGCCAAGAAGAGTTAAAAATCCGATATCGTGCGTCTCTGTTTTGCTCGCGTGGCGGCACCGCCACAAATAAACCACCTTGGTAACCGGGTTTTCAAATACTCCATTTTAATAGACAAAGTGCACCTTTCGGTTTCAAGTTTGCATCTGACCAGAATACCTCCAAAGGACAGAAAAGCATGCTGTTGGTGATCGACTCGTCACAATCTCACGGAAAAGTAAAAGAGAGAGAGCACATGAATGTTTTAATGAATGATCGTTGACAGACTGGGATTGTTGCAGTGATCGATCGTGTTCCTTTACATAAATCGCTTCACAAAAAAAAGGCACCGAGAATCATGAAAAAAGAGAGAGATGGCATGTTTCGTTGTGTTATTTGAAATGCACAGTGAATACAAATTAAAAAAAACATCAGTTTGTCTCAAAAGATCCCGTTTGGCAACAACAAAAAAATAAGAGGGTCATTTCTGCCGACACACAATCACAAGAAATGATGAAACGCACCACAAAAAAAAAAAAAAAGACAATTTTCTTTTCTCCTATAAAGTGTCGATATCAGGCATTCTGAAAGTGATATGGACCTGCAGTGTTTACAGATGTTGTCGTATGTGTCAATGAACCAATGTGTCTGAGGCCTTATCCAGTGTACATAAAGATGAGAGCCAAAGCAAACAATCAAAACGAAACAGCTGTGAGTCTGTGTGTGTGTGTGTGTGTGTGCGTGTGTGTGTGCGCGCTGTACACAGTTTTTGTTTGTGCTCAAAAAAACAGAGCAGCTATCTCTGGATTTTATTATTTAGTGTGACCAAAACGAAAATATGGGCCAGTAATTGTTAAAAAAATAACAATAAATAAAATTTATGGCACCTTAAAGAGATTAAAGAGTCATGCAGTTGGACATTCGACCGGGTTCGGAACGGAAGAACAATACATTCATAAAGCAGATATTCAGATCTGGGTGGATGGGCCTCAGGTACGCAATACATCTCTTCAGTCAAAAACTCTTTATGCCGTGACCACACATAAATCTTTTGTACTCCTGGATATGAAATAAATCAAATATTTACATAACTTTTTTTCTCTCAAAATAGGTCTGTGCTTTAAAAAAAAAACAAAAAAACAAAACAAATAATTTAAAATTCAAGTTCATACATAGACATTCTAGAAAGCATTGTTTTTTTTTTTTACTCTTTTCTTTGAACCAAATAATGTACAAATCGCTCATGTGCTGAAGACATACTGCAGTTTTGTTTGTTGAGAGATCAGTACTGTGTGATTAGTGTAAAGTAGGTCTCTGCATTCTTTATTCTTATATAGACTTTTTTTTTTTGTTCCTTTTTTTTTTTTTTTGCAGTGTTCTTACATTGAAGAATTTGAGGCACTGAGGCCACGACAAGGCTACAGGGAATCCAGCACTGTCCATACGCAGAAGGACACTTGTAGAAATACTGTCCCGGGTCACCTGCTCATTGCGCTACCCTGTGCTCTCCCCACGCTCCGTCATACAAGGAAGAAATGTAGTGTGCAAGGATAACTGGACATAAATATTGAAATGCTTTAAGGGGGTGGGGGGGTGAGGTGTTGACGTCCTCCTGCCCCCCTCCTCCCCAGGTATTAATGTGGCACTGTGTTAATAAAGGTGTGAACATCGGTCACTGAAGCGAAGACGAACGCTGTGCACGACAAGACGCCCCCAGAAATCTGTTCCGATCTGATAAGCCTGTATTTGGTTTTACCGAAACTTCTCCTTTGAGCTTATTTACACGCTTGTCAGAAACTCTTAATAAGTGATCCCTACCACTCTTTTCTCAGCAGTCTCACCTGAGGCGGACATTTGGGAATGTCACCGTCGAAGCAGTCGATTATTCTCAAAAAAAAAAAAAAAGAATCCCAAGCAAGTTTTGGGGAGATTTATAACTATCACATTTGTCCAACTACTGACAAATACTGTCTTAAATTAAAAATAATAATAAAAAAACCCCATCTGCACACAAAATAAAAATGTCAAATTGAGACCCCCAAACCGTTTGCTGTTTCCAAGCCTTGATCATTATTACATGGCTTTAAGAGAATGGCTTATGGTCGCTCGGTTCCCCAGATGTGGAGCTAAAACAACTGATGAGTCACAGATTGGTGAAAACAAATGCTTGAGTGAACTTCTCAGAGCTCGACCGGCTCTCCGGAGCGGCTACACACAGCTGATAAAACTCCACATTCAATCGACAAAGAGGCCTTTTGATCAGACCTGGACTGGCTGTGAGACCACGTGTAGTTTGGTATAACATCTGTCAGTATGTACAGTTTAGAGCAAAGTTAGTGTCCACACTGGCATCTCTATGAAACAGACTGTTTTTGTTGTAAACAATAAAAAGATTATATTTTTTTTATAGTGATTTCTGTGAGGTACTGTAGAGATTCATCTCATTTCGTCCCCCAAAAAGCTGTCGATAGAACCAGAAACGTAAAACAAAACAAAACAAAACAACGGAATATGAGCGACCTGCCGGGCAGCTGGAGGCGACGCCGGGTGACGTCACAGTGGCTACCTCTGCACTACGTCACTAATCTCTTTAATACAGGTGTGCAGGTTGTCCAGTACAGTGTTGGACCCGCTCAGCCCGCCGCCCCCCGAACACGAGGCCCTCAGTTCCTGCAGGCTGAGCTCCAGCTTCCCCACTGCCTCTCGAAAGGCGAATTTGTTCCTCATCTGAGGGATGCAGTCCACGTAACCTGAGCAGTAGTCTAGCAGCTGGTGGCCGGCGTCCAGCACCTGGCTGCTGGAGGGGCTCTCGGAGCTGGCGTGGAGCGCGCTGCTCAGGCACTCGGCGCACTCCAGCAGGGCCTCGCGGCTCACCCGCTCCAGGGGAACCCTCTCCACCTGCTGCCTGGTCCGCCGCAGCGCCACCTTGGAGGAGGAGGAGGAGGAGGTGGTGGTGGCTCCGTTGGCCATTTTGGTGGGAGTCGTGTTGGCGGCGGAGGAAGATGCAGGAGGCACTTGTGGTGGCGGCACTGACGGTCTGCCTGTCGTCGCTGCTCCGCCTGACGTCCGACCCGACCGGTGGCCTTTCAGCGTGTCTCCGTTCACCTCCACGGGCCCTCCTCCTCCACCTCCACCTCCACCTCCTCCTCCTCCTCCTCCGACCTGCTCCTCGCCGTCGCCGCTGTATGAGTGCTGCAGGCTGCGCAGGGTGGGCGGAGGAGGAGGAGCGCACTTGGGCTTGACCAGCCGCGGCCGGTCGCGGTCCGCCTGGTGCTCAGACAGCAGCTTGAAGCGGTTCCCCTGAGAGTCCAGCCCGACCAGGTGCACGTCGGCCGGGCTGTGCTTCAGTGTGGGCGAGATCAGAACCGGGACTTTGTGGTTGTGAGTCGGAGCCGAAGCCGACGACATGCTGGAGCTCTTGGAGGGAGACGACCAGCTCTGCTGCCGGTCCAGCCCCCCGCCCTCCTCCCTGCCCTCCCTGACCCGGGACAGACCGTCCGACTCGCCCACCTCGCCCCCGACCCCCGGCGCCCTCACCCCGACGGCGGCGCCCCGGGGCAGCAGCTTGGCTTTGGGCCGTTCCCTGATCTGTGCGGTGCCCTCGTCCATCCTCCTCAGCAGGGTCTCGGAGTGCCGTGCGGCCCCGTTCTCCGGCTGGGAGGTGGTGGAGGCGGTCCTCTCCAGAGGGGGCTTCGCACTGCGGTTCCGGGGTAAAGTCAGAGCCATGCGCTCCAGGTCCGGCAGCCCAGCTGACATTGAGGAGGTAGAATTGGACCTGGGGAAGGGTTTAGGCCCTCCGACTAAGCTGCCCCCCTCCTCCGTGGAGGCGGTCTTTCCTGTCCGTAGGCCCAGGGTCTTTTTGATCAGTCTGGGGGTGAAGAACCCCGCCAGACCCCCCCAGCTGCTGCCGCTCGTCACCTGCGAACCGAGACCTCCGCCGGAAGGTTTCTGTCCGAACGCAGCCCCACAGCAGCGGGAATGTGCCTGCGTGGGCTCCCCGTGGGAGTGGGACGGGGAGGCCGAGAAGCCCCCCAAGCTGTCCGACTGGGGCAGGGGAGGGGGGGCGCTGAAGTCGGCCGTGGGCTCGTACTTCTTGTGGGGCTGGGTCTCCATCTCCCGGAAGGAGCTGCTCCTCTTGGGCGGCGTCGGGAGGTTCTGCTGGAGCTGGGAGGACGGCGAGGAGGAGGACGAGGAGGAGGAGGACTTCTTCTTGATGAAGGAGCTGAAGAAGCCGGTCTTGCGGTCCCGCGTGAACGTGCCCATGTCCTGCACGTCCTCCAGGAGGCTGCTGGGAGATTTATCCCGCGGCTGCTGCTGCTGCTTCCGGGGGAGAGCCGGAGAGCTGCTGGAGCGGCCGTCACCTCCGAGCAGAGTGGAGGCCCAGCCTGGAGGAGAGGAGGGGAGGAGAGGGATGGATCATCAACTCAGCTCTGTTCACGGGTTAATTAATATCATCAGAACATCTATGATGACACTCCTCTGTATGCTAATGTCATGTCAGGCAGGTGTAATAGTACAGGATGGATTATTCCTCCTCAGGGACTCATGACAAAAAAAAATAAAAAATCCTTTCATGAAGGTGATTGGAAGTTATGGGTTCATGCCAGTCACAGTGATTTACAGATGCTCATGTAAAAAAAAAACATAGGATCCTAACACAGTGTTGCTAAAAGAGGGAAACACATTTTGACTTCTGCTTTAAATCTAAATGAAGAAATAAATAAAACTCAGGTGCAAACCAACAATAAAATACCCAACCGTCCCTACATTGTTCTCTCTAGTGTTTAATATTAAATGCATTAAAAACACACAGACAGGATATATTTGGATGTAACTAAGATGATTGTGGGTTCATTATTTTCTCATGTGGACTTTTATGGACAAGGTTTTAGTGTGTTTTTGTGCTTTAGGACTTTTTTTTTTTCATGTATCACTTTTATTCCATTCATGAACTCATAAAGTTTACTTTTTATTGGACCAAAAGATGGTTTGGTGACAGAAAGACGAAGCGAGGACATTTTACATCAACAGAAAAAAATGTTATTTCCAACATAAACACATAAATAGCGAATAATTTAAGGCAGACAACAGTATGTACATTTAATATTAGGATGACACGTTAGCATGCATGAGCTGGAATGTGGGATTAATATTGATGCAACAAACAGGACAAGACAGAACATGAGCAACATGCTGATTACATAATGTGCTATGTACAGTACAGCTTGTGTCACAGTGGAGAAACAAAAAGAGGTTCAGCTGGTCATGTGGGTCACATGATGCTGCTGGGACTGTCTGAGGCAGTGATCATGTTATAAATGTGTAATTATGGACAGCTGATATAATGTTTAAATTGCTTGAGGATGCTGAAATCACTTCATGCTGAGAGTTTGTGGCTGAAAAGGACCAATTTTGACTCCTAAAAGCTGCTTTTTAGGATGTTTTTGGGGACTATTGGAGGACATATTGAATGAAATACGAGTCTTCCTCCCCAGCACCACATAACGATGGTAAAGATGGCACACACTTCAGAATGTACATGACTCTTTTATTGTTGATCGTTTTGATTTTTGTGGAATACATTTTGAATTGTTCTGTTGGAGTTTAACTGATTGGTGTTGGACATGAATATGAGCATTTCATACGACTAATTAAACATCGTTGGTTTGGTCGGTTAGTGTGCGTGGACTTTTTCAGACAGACGGCGGCGGCGGTGGTCAGTTGTGGAGGAAAATCATGGCCCTCCTTCTCAGGCGGCGAGCCTGGCGGCGCTGCAGACTCTGAAACTTCTGGCTCTGCGGCTCGCTGGTCTCCGGCGGCGTACCTGCAGAATCATAAAGCGGTGCGGCGGACTGGCTGGCAGTGAGGCGGGCGTGGCCGGCGGTACCTGAGTGACTGTGCGTGCTGTGGTCCGAGCGCCCGTCCAGCCCTCCCTCGATGTTCTCCTTGTTTTCCGTGTGCTTGTGCAGTGTGCGGGATTTGGAAGGCAACAGGGGCATGTCGTGGCTGAAGGAGTGCAGTGGTCCGCAGTGGCCTGAAGAGGCGGTTTTACAGAGCTCCTCTGCTACCTCTGCAACGTGGAAGGATGGAAAATAGTTAGCAACCGCTAAACCCCAGCGCTGTACATTTGCTGACCTACGCACATTTACAACAGAAAGTGTTAATCATCCTTAAACGGTTTGTAAAACTCTTGTATTGACAGTGACGGTTCAACTGTTTTCTCTTCCTTCTGGTTTTATGTGTATATTTTACACTCTAGTATAGTTTAAATGCTTTCTTGCTCTAATGACACCGTTTCTGCTGTTTCTTTTCATCTGAGTGTCATTAAATACCGTCTCTCTTTTGAAAGGATCATTGAATAGACTTAAAATGTGCAAGAATCAGAAGTTGAATAGTCGTCCTTAGCCAGACATTTCTATACGACATAATCTGCTGCACTTCACTCTACTATATGGGGAAAAAAAACCTTTCTTGTTTTTGTTTCTTAAAACCCAATCACAGCCATCTCAGGACGACGTTAAGGCCTGGATTCTCTGACTGTGTCTCTGTGACATCGTGACGGAGGAAAACTTGTTTTGGTGGAACATTTTCATGCACGGCGGCTCGGTGGTTAGCACCGTCGCCTCGCAGATAGAAGATCCCTGGTTTGCATCCTGGTTAGGACGCCTGGGATCTTTCTGCGTGGAGTCTCCATGTTCTCCCTGTGCAGCGTGGGTTCTCTCCGGGTTCTCCGGCTTCCTCCCACAGTCCAGAAACATGCTGAGGTTAATTGGTGATTGTAAATTGTCCGTAGGTGTGAATGTGAGTGTGCTTGGTTGTCTGTCTCTAAGTGTAGCCCTGTGATAGACTGGTTACCTGTCCAGGTGAACCTGCCTTCACCCTGAGTCAGCTGGGATAGACTCCAGCTAAACTCGCTGGACTTCTTAAAGCCACTTGCTCGTTGTATGTGACTCTTCATTAAACTGATATCACATATTCTAACAGGCCACCTACATCTGGTGGTACAGATTATTATCGTAGAAGCTCCGTGAACGCAGGTTTGAGGATGAGCTGCACGTTGCCGTACCTTCAGAAATGCTGGAGTCGTGGAACATCGTTTCGAAGGCTTGGTGGATCTCCGCAAACGAAGGCCGATCTAACGGGCTCCACTGCCAGCCTGGTGCAAAGACAGAACCCAGAAACGTGTCATTGCAAGAAGGCACCCTGACATTTACGTGTTTTATGATTCAAAGAGGTTGTTGAGTTCTAGGTGAGCTAACTCGTACTCACATGCCCTCATGAGCTCATAGACTTTGGGTGGGCATCCCTCAGGCTGCTCCATGCGGTAGCCCTTCTCCAGGAGATCGTAGACCTGAGACAAATCGATGCCGGGGTACGGAGACATGCCGTAGGTGGCGATTTCCCACAGTAACACCCCGAAGGCTGCAGAATGTAGACAATCAAACGTGAGCTCATTGGAGATCATTTTAAGAGTAAAACAAGGTTAACAAAGACTGTAGGCTCGTGTGCTGCTCACCCCAGACGTCAGACTTGATGGAGAAGGTGTTGTACGCCAGGCTCTCCGGTGCAGTCCATTTGATGGGGAACTTGGCCCCGGCGTGGGCAGTGTAGGTGTCACCGGTCATCAGCCGGCTCAGACCGAAGTCAGCCACCTTCACCACGTGATTCTCCCCGACCAGGCAGTTCCTCGCTGCCAGATCCCTGAAAAAAAGCAACGAAGGTGGAGGGGAAATGAGATATTCTGACAAATGCAAGGAGACATGTGCATGTAAACACAAAGCAGCACGAGCGCATCCTCTCACCTGTGTATGAAGTTCTTCTTCTCCAGATATTCCATGGCAGAGGAGATCTGAGTGGCCATGTAGAGCAGCACCACAGCGTTCACCTCCTCCTTGTCGCACTCTCTCAAGTAGTCCAGTAGGTTGCCGTGAGGCATGTACTCCGTCACGATGTAGAACGGAGGCTCCAGCGTGCACACACCTGTGGGAGGAGCAGCGTTAGCCTTCAGTATGTGCCACTGTGACATGCTGAATTGGAAAAACAGGAATTTTCTCCTACAGATTTTCATAATTTTTACAGGAATGAGCTCATTTGTGTGGTGAAAATTTTTCAGAAAGTTGTTTGGGGACATTCATGAGCTCATAATTGGGGATTATATTGTAATTTTCCACTTCTAATCGCTACAGTTCAATGTTTTGCAGTAAACCCTGGTTAACAGACTTTGAGTAGGAAGATTTACTGGTACAGAAGCCTTGAAGCAGATACAGAAAACAGCTTCTTTTAGCATAAAGATGATTGAAAGCCACTATTATTTTCACATATCAGAGCATCCACAGATAAAAGAAGCAGCGTAGGTGTGGATTAGGATCATTTCAGCTGTGACAACAACTCGGATGCTTGAGGATTTGAATGTCTTGAAATAAATACTATAGGAAATGGGAATGATTAGTGATAAATACTGACCGAGCAGCTGAACGAGGTTTGGGTGTTTGACCTCCTTCATGACTGCTGCCTCTTTTAGGAACTCTTCAACCTCCATGGTGTCCTCCTGTAGAAACACAAACGTTTATCAGAGGGTTTGACAGATGGAGCAAAATGCAGCAGGGAGAATCACATGTGATACCAAAGTCCGCCTGCAGGTGGCGATATATAACCATTTATAACCACAGCAGCTTTCTACTATAAATCTCAGAGAAATCCAAGCATCTCTGCAGGAGAGGCGGTTCTGACCTTGAGTGTTTTGACCGCCACCGTCAGGTTGTACTTCTTCCACACTCCCACGTACACCTCCCCATACTGGCCTCCTCCCAGCTTGTGCTTCATGGTGATGTCTGTGCGCTCCATCTCCCACTTGTCATGGATGGGTGACACACCGTACACCGTGGGCTTGTTGCATTTGGGTGCGGGGTAGTGCAGTGTGGTGACCAGGCCGTCGGCTACGGTGGAGTGGTGGTGGACCAGCTCGGCCAGGGTGGCGAAGCGGCTCTCCGATGTCACATACACCTGAGGGAGGAGGGAAAAGGCAAGGTTACGAAACAGACCACGGAGAGGACGGCGCTTTAGTTCAACAACCAGTGCAGCATCCATAACTCCACCTTTGCATCAGTGGCTGTGTTGATCCGGTAGTGGTACACTCTGCCCTCATAGCGCAGAGATATGGACAGCTGACCGGGGCTGCTTTCGCTCTCTCGGACCAGGAAGCTGCCGTTGATGAGGGACGAGAGCAGGTACTCTGCAGCGCTGCGGGAGACGGGCCCGTGGTACCAGCTGTGCTTCTCCAGGCTGTTGACCGGCGTGATGTAGTTGGAAGGCACCCAGCCCTGGCCGTTCTTGGACCGAACCTCGCTCCACTCTCCATTCTGGTTGTAGCCCAGCACACGCAGCTTCTCACCTGGACACAGGAGGTGACGTTTAGCGGAGGCAGAACGACTTGGAAAGACACCAGCTTTGATTCCCAGGATGTGCAAAGAGACCAGACAGGACTGGAGGAATTCACATCAGAAAATCAACACCTGACTACGAGTTTAAATCAATTCAAAATGTGTAATAATCGATGGGGCATAAGATAAAATGTTCTGTAACCAGTGAGTTTCTTATTGTTTAATGAGACAGAAAACTGCAGCTCGTTTGTGTTTAATGCTGTTAAAAAGCAGAGAGCATTGTGGGGGTTTAGCGAGCACCATGACAAAGACTCATATGGCTGTTAATAGGGTCCAAGTCTACAAGGTGGCTACATGTAAAAAGCCAATTTAAAGGTGAATATCACGATATCACGATATCACGAGTACGTCCACTGTTCCTGATTTGTTTCAGTGATCAATCGATCATGTATTGGTAACGTTGCTGCCTATCTCTGAAGAAAATCGTTCAAAATCTGCATCCCTGCTTTACGAAGAGGCTGTTTGTTCATTAAATTTCATCAGAGACACAATGTAGGACAAAAAATGTGTCACAACGTCGACCGTAATACTTTAATAACACTGACAAGAAAGACGCGTCATGAAAACTCTCCTCCCGGCGAAACTGGATCAAACGCCGAGAATAAGGCTGTTTAATACGGCAACAACTCAGAGAGCATTATGGGGGTTTAGCGAGCGACGGGCCACCATGACAAAGACTGACGTGGCGGTTAATAGGTTCTGAGTGGGGCATTTGTACTCCAGTGGACAAACTAACCGCGCTGCTTTAACAGCAAATGTCATGAGTCCACAGTTAAAAATAAATGGAATTCTGTTCGCTGTATGTTCATTTTAGTGACTAATCGTTAATTATTGGCAAAATCTTTGCCGATATCTTCAGGAAACTGTTCAAAATTTGCACCCGTACTTTAACCAGCGGCTGTTTGTTTATTACACAAACACACAATGTAGAACGAAACGTCTTAAATGTGTCACAACGTAATACCTTAATAACACTTACAAGAAAGACGCGTTATGAAAACCCGCCTCTCAGTGAAACTGGATCAAAGGCTGTTTAATACAACGCAGAGAGCATTATGGGGGTTTAGCGAGCAACGGGCCACCATGACAAAGATGTGGCGGTTAAAAGGTTCTGAGTCTACTGGGGCATTTATACTCGAGTGGCCAAACTAACCGAGCTGCTTTAATGTCATGAATCCACGCTTACAAATCAGTACATGGAGATAGGTCCGCTGTACCCAACTCGTTTAGATGATTAATCGTTTGTATCTCGCTGTTACAAAACTGTTTGAAACCAGAACCCCTGCTTTAAACAGTTTGCTCACTGAAACTCCTCAGAGACACACAGTGTAAAACAAAACGCCCTCGCTGGGTCACCACGACACCCTAATACCTAAAGAACAGCTCACTGACGAGAAAGACGTGTCATGAAAACTCGCCTCTTAGCAAAACTACATGAAAAGCCATGAAACAATGATGAGGCCGCCCGGGAGAACGGCGTATCTGTCATAGAGGGCTCGGCAAAACCAGACAAGTAGAGACTCGGCCCGCCGCCTCGGTCTGTCCGTGACGTCAATGCAGGAGACGTGAGGGAGCGGAGATGCGAGTGGAGGAGGGAGGCGGAAATCAGCACAACAAAACACTGGATGGAGCAGCGATGGGTCCTGCCAGTTGGATGGAGCATCGGAGGAAAAGCAAATGGTAAGAAGAAAGAGAGGGTAGTGGCCAGTTGGGAGCATTAGTCTGGCAGAAAGCAGATGCTGCGAGGGGGGAGGGGAGCATCAGTCCATCTTCTTCCTGTCTACACTCAGCTTTATCTCCCACTCAGAGTTTCACTCACAAGATACGAGCTAACTCCGGTCTGTCGGCAGCTCGGATGACGGGACAGAGCGTCACCCTTTAGGGGGCGTCCGGACCAAAAACATCCAAAATAAAGCAAAGAGCTGCATAGGTGGGGTATCGGAGGCAAAACTGATCCAGCTGGAGAAACAGGACAGTGTCTTAAGATGCTGATCAGATGCTACAAACGGCAGCAAAAGCGAAGCCCGATGCAACCTGTGTGCTCTGTTGTTTAGGGTTTTGACTTCTGTGTTGGTGTCCCTGTGACACCGGCGTCTCAAATTCAAAACATTAAGACAGCTGTGACTCTTCACACAAGGCTGCAGTTGATGTGTAAGGCAGCCCGAGGCTATCATGACTTGCATAATGCCTTCAACTGTGTCAAACAGCAGCTACAAGGATTGTGCAACAGACTGTTAACATTAAGCAGCGCCACACAGCAAACCAAAACAGCTCCAGCAAGTCTAGTTAGTGACACAATTGAGGCCTTCTAACATGCTACTACTAACCAGAGCTGCAGCTTTGGCTCCGTAAACTAAACACGCTGTACTAGCAATGCAGGGAACTACAATAAACAGAGATGGTTATCCACATCCAGCCCACCAATCCACCAGCCTCCTCTGAGTCTGCCTTCTGTGCCCCTCAGTTTTGTGGGAGTGGAAACACTGACTGCCTCGATGCCTCACACTGGGAGCCACATGTGCTCGAAGCAGGGCTCTGGTCTGGTCTAGCCTAGTTTGGCCTGGCACGGAGGAGAGACACTGATTAGCCCCAGACATGGGCCTGCTAAGTCCCCCTCTGTGATCAGCCTCTGCCCGCTGTGCTCACCCACCTGTTATTATTACAGTTGAACTGATTTCATATTAACACAGCATTAGAGGCACGCCGGGGCTGTTTCCACGCGACCGAGCGAAGCGCCGGACAGATAGGAAAAGCGCAGTGGAGCCTGGGAGAGCACATGTGCTCGCATGTGGGCAGGAATCTCAGATTCACTCCATGAGTCAGGGTCTAAACATCATTTCCATCCCCGGCAGCTGCCATGGAAGTCTTAAAACGACGGATAATTAACACACTGCCACGTTTAACGCTTTGGATCAGATGGGGACACGAGGCCCGCCGTCTCTGAATAATATTGTGAGGATATTTTAGGCCCATTACTCAGGAGAGAGCTGGTTGACTGGTTAACTGCTGCTGAGGTGGCCTGGACGTTATAGAGTGTAAATACTGCAGGGATAAGAAAAGTCATTAAGGCAATATGTGAGCGTTTTTGTTGTATTGTCTGAACATTTTAGGCGTCATTACTTTGTTACAAGCTGCAATATTATAATAACGCAGGTAAACATTTCCCCACAGGGGGTATCAGGGTAATAAAGTACAGAGTGAGGGTGGCTGATGTCATGAATCTATTGACACACCACATTCCTCTGACATAACTACGCTTTTACTCGGGTACATCCTTTCTAGGTGGCGCCGACCGATGACTCGTCATGTAAGGAAATCTCTCTGCGCTGTTGCAACCAATGTGCCGTCTGAGAAGGTGTGGTTGAGAGTGATGGATGACACGGAAAAATTAAGAAGAGGAGCAACATCGTCGCCAGGCAACAACATTCAGCGATGATGCACAGAAAGAACGCGCTGCGGGACGAGTTTTTCAGGTCTAGTTTCGGCACATTTGAGAAAAGAATTTGTCAGATCAGAGTTTGTGAGTCAGATGCTGAGTAAATAAAGAGAGTCGTTGCCAAGGTGACGGGTGTGATGTTTTTTTAAAATCGTGTCATTGTTTACCTTTGGTGATGCTGAGTGTGTTGTCTCCGCTCGCGACAAAGTCATAAAGTGCAACGAAGAGGTTCGGGTCGCTCTCGGCTGCCCCCAGCAGGTTCTCCTTGGAGCTCCAGCGCACCGCTTCTGTCAGAGCTTCTGGCGGGAAAGCAAAAGAGAAGATTAATCGTGACACTAGCGCACAAAACAGCACAACATGTTGCACAGAGGAACAGAATAATCACAGTTGGAGCTGGTTCTGTAAATGCAATCTGCAGCTTTGTTGACTAATAATTCCCTCAAGTAGAACTGACCACAGCAAGCGTTCCTATTCCAGTACAACCTACAGACAACAACAGCCTGCTGGCAGGTCTGATGAGCTAGAAATGCTAAGACGTCTTCCTCATCTTCAGCCTCCATGCTGCGTTAGTCTACCTGTCCGTCCAGACTGAGCCTCCTGCCTGAACCCGGTGCGGAGCTGATGGCCGCTCAGAGCCGCCCACTCATCCTCAAAACTGCTGCTTGCCTGCAGGCACCTCAAAGGCATCACTTTGCTCAAATCCAATTCTGTGTAGAGCTTCTGTTATCGCTGGCTACAAACACAAAGGCCTGCCGTGTCTCGTCTGGGCCAGGTGAGATCTGAGGAGGGAGTGTTTGTCTAGGTGTGTATATATGAAAGGAGAGAGGGCGGAGCTACAGAACCCACAGGGATGGGAACAGGATGAACACACACACACACACACACACACCCAGAGGGACGCGGTGATGAACTCGAACACCAACTACACTCGACAGCTGCTGCCAAAGTCGCTGCATGTCTGGACAGCTGCTGAAGGAGTGGGAGAGGATCGCAGTGGAATGGAGGCAACACAGGAGCCCTGACACAACATGTTGCTCCTTAAATGTGACTTTGAATTAGAGTTTTTAAAAATAATTTAACACCTACACAACATCCTGAACAAGGGAACAAGGTCTCACCTGCCTAATACAGCAATAAAAAGTGCAACACGCTGCCTAAGTGGGAGTTTTGTTGTCCACATTTACTTGTGTGACATATTCACACTACTTTTGTTCAACCGGTTGTTCTGAAGGCTGCAGTTTATAGATCTAGAAACGTAAAGCGTTGCACCACCGAGTGATGTTTACGGAGAAGGCAGCACAAACCCCAAGCGGATGGCGCGACCGTAAACAAGAGGCGATACGGTTTTCTTCTAGTCGTCAACATCTGCCATCGCTACGAGCCGCCACCTACACGCTCAGGCTAACGCTCGCCAGAGGAACCGGCTGATTCAGAACAGATCGGCCGCCTCGGCTCCAGCCGTTACGGGGCCCGCTCCTCCGTGGCTGCAATCACAGTTGGCGGTGGAACGTTTAAAACAGCGCTCCTGACATTTCGTCGTTGCCAGCGAGGTCAGGTTTTTGGTAACGTTGGCGAAGAATCCTCTGCGTGTTCAACAGAGGTCTTGTGTAAATACTGGAGCTCTCATGCAACAACAGCTGCTGCCGGTGAGGTGGAAAAGACGGATTTCATGCTTCAAAAATATATGAAAAATGCTGAAATAATCGAAAGCATAAGTGTAGATACCCAGTCGTCCTCAAATGTATTCATAACCTCCTGTTTAAGAGGGAAAAAACCAGCTGAAATAAGTTAAAATTGATAAAAGTAATAATAAATAAAACATTTTTATGAAAATTATGACATTGCTTTTAAATTGTGGTTCAACAGAAATATTTTTTTTTAAAAAGGGGGGAGAAAAACAAGCAAACAAGGGACCTTTTTTAAAAATTTTTAAATTATTCTTTTCAACCACAATTCAAAAGCAACGTCTTATTTCACTAAATTACAATTTAGCAAATTTTTATTTATTATAACTTTTTTCAGTTTCTAGTTATTTGAGCGACTGTCATGAATTTTGCCTTTTCTTTAATGGAAGGGTGTGAATACATCTGAGGACGACTGTACTTGTCAGAAATAAGACAGACGTTCTTGTTGATTTCACAATTACAAAGCAGCCAATTAAAACAGAAAAAGCCAAAATGTTTAGTCCTTTGTCACTACTAGGATGCTCTACACACTGTCAACACAGCACCTGAAACTAACAACAGCAAACAAACAAGAGGGAAAAAACTAAAAAAAGACACAGCACAGCCCAGAAGTTCACATTTCATTCAGATTTTGATTAAAATTTAAGAGCTGAGAGCACAAAGCGGATGAAGCTGCGATGACAGCAGCATTCTATCATCCGACCATAATGAGCGAGTTACTGACAATGATGCAGGATTCTCGCTCTGAGACACGGTCGTGACTTTCTGCGGTTAAGACATGACAAATATTTCAGATTTAATCACACAACTCTAATCTCACAAAGCTGGCGAAAACAGAAATTAAACATTTTCCATCTTTCGTGGGCACCATGTGGCGGACACGTGACGTCGAATCACACGAGAGCAGAGACTTTCCCACGTCGTGTCATCTACACAATGACTTCACTCTAAACACAACAAACCGTCCCCCCGTCGCCAAACACTGCAACCGTATGTCATCTATTCCGAACAGCACCACAACATCTACACATGAGGTTTGCGCACCTTTGTTCTGGACCAGCATGCACTGCAGCGCCGCACTGGCCGTGACCTGGCTCAGCCACAGCTCCCAGTACATCTCCCGTTCTGCCCAGTTACCAATCCCAGTATCCGCGGTGGTTTCTCTTGACTCCGAGCAGTCGGTTTAAAGTCTAAACGTGTCTCCGGAGGCTGAAAAGTACATTCTCCAAGCCGGGGGAAAAAAAAGAAAAGGAGCAGAGGCCACTTCTCTAAACCATCCTGCTCACTGTGGAGCACAAAAGCTGCACTCAGGGCAAATCTGAGAGGCACAAAGACCTCCCCACACCAATTATTTACCCACGCCGCTGTCCTTGAGCTAAACTGCCCAAACTTCTGACATTACGGCAGTGACTAGCAGCCCTCTGCCTCTCCCTGCCGGCTTTGATGTGGCCGAGGGGAGTCAAGCTTTCCGAGGTCCATCTGGAGAGCGCAGACGTCCATGACTGATGTTCTCTGAGGTTTAAAGTGCTGTAAGGGCTGGCGGAGGGAGGCAGCGAAGAAGAAGAAGACGTGTGGTTGAGGGGCTGGGGATGGGGCATGTGCAGAGGTTATGGAGGGGGGGTGGTGGTAGGGAAGAGTGTACGGTATGGAGGAAAGTTGAGCTGAATGTGATGTGTGTGCATGTGTGGTGTGGGAGTGTGTGAGGGCCGAGGCAGCGCTGTGGCTGGCAGCAGATGGCCGGTCGGCTGAATGGGAGGGAGGGGGGAGCTGCTATTGACCGACACTCTGCTTCTTCTTCTGTGTGTGTGTGTGTGTGTGTGTGTGTGTGCATGAATCTGTGTAAACGTGCACGCCTGCAACTGCCGGGCCGAGCCAACTGTCGGAGCTGCTCCTCTTACACGGCTACGTATCACGTCGCTCATGTCAGGAATGTTTTTAATGAAATAGTGATGTTACGACACACGCGTGTCAAAGAGGAATCTCAAGTCAACGAGGAGCGACACGAAAAACAACAACAACAACAACCTCCATCACTGTTTGCTCCCAGCCTCAAGTCAAAACAGCTAATTACACGAAATCGTTTCCCCGTCACGATCCAGTTTCATTAACTTCCTTAAATCGCCCCTAAATCCCGGCCAGCAGGAAGATGCTGTTCCTCCTGGCCCAGCTCGAGCCTCATGTGCTGCGGCGTTTGATTGAGCGAGCAGTTGGCCCGCGCGGCGTTTGTCGTGCGCCCGTCCGTGTGCGTCTGCCGCGAAGCCGGAGCACATGTGCGTTCTTGAAGAAACCCCGGCTTTGTGTCAAGACAGCTGCGACAGAGGTGACCCCGGTCCCGCATTACACGGGCGCACACTTGGGGGGCGACACGACTCCCCAGCAGCTGCTTTGTGCCTCCGGGTTTCTCTGAAGGTGTCGCTCCACCAGCGGGCCGCCTTGTGCCAAAGCATTAAACGACACAATAACATCTCCCGCATAAAACAATGCTGATTGTATCCCAAGCCCGTGGCCGGCGAGGTAAGCTTGTATTTTTAGCTGCTCGAGAACAAAACACAGCAGCGTGACATCCAGAAATAACTCGGCAGAGCACATAGTGGTGCGCAGATAAACGGCTGGCTGGCTGCAGGAAGCTAAACCAAAAGCTGAGACAATGAGACACACATGGAGGAGACGGTACAGGAGCCTGTGTGACAGATCAGATCCTGGTGTTAGTTACTGGACACAAACAATAAATCAGCTGATTCTGAGGGAGTCAGGTGGGAACTTATTTTAAAAGATTCTATTTGAAATGACTCCCCTAAAGTCTGTGACACCATCAGAGGTGATATGAGGAGATATTCAAAGACTGAACGTCGCCCCAAAACACTCATAAGACTCCCTTTAACTTTAAACTTTTGGAGTTTGGTTCCTACACCACAGACATCCGTGACTCACGTACAGAACAGACAGAAGAATTACAGCTGCGATGATTAATCAGTCAAAAGGAAACTAAACGAGCGTCATTAAGAGTTAAAATCTCAGAGCAAAAACAAAAACATTTGGTCTCAAGTTCACAAACATCTCAGATTTTCTGTTTTTCTTTGTTTTGCATCTCTGAAAACTGAATATCATCGAGTTTTAAAGTCACACCAAGACGGCGACATTTTTCCTTGTTTCATGTTCTGTGGACCAAATTAATCAAGAAAACCATCAGTAGATAATTCATATAAGAACTAGCTGCAGCCAGCTGACTACAGAATACCAGTGAACAGAATCATGTTCACTGTTTAGACAAACAACACACCTGGCTGTGAAAACTGGACCAACAACAATCACACACAGCTCAGAGCGTCAGAAGTCAACATTTCCTTTCAGATTTTATCATAAATTTGAGAACTAAGTGAACAAAACCGATGACAGTTTGATGACAAACGTTATCATCTGATCATAAGAAGTGACGACGAAGCAGGATTTTCACTCCGAGCGTCTGAGGCACCGTCACGGTTTTATGTGATTAAAACGGGATAAATATCTCAGTTCTTCCTCAGACTAGTTTAAAATTAAAACCTGTGTGTCTCTGCTTTAATCTCACAGAGACGTTGTTTAATTCATACAGAAGTTAAACACTTCCCGTCGCT